CGGGCGCCGGCTCCGCCCCCCGGCCTGCGGGTGGGGACGTCCGGTACGCTCGCGAGGAAGCCTTTGCTTTTCCGAGTCGCCCTCTGACCCGCCCGGTGGCGGTGGTCCGCATGGCCCGTGAGTGTGCGGACCGGTTGGGGAAGCGGCGCCCGAGGCGCGGTTGGCGGGGAGGCGGGGACTGACTGGCGAATCCCCTTGGGTCAGGCGGGGCGGGGACCCTGTCTTCAGTCCGCAGAGAGGGACGGTCGGTTGCGGTCCGGCCTGGGAGGGCGCCTGCCCCTCAGGTGCGAGTTTGCACCGTAGAGAACACCTCCCCGGAGGCGAGGCGTGTGGAGACCGCAGGCCCGGGAGGGGTCCTGGCCTGGAGGTGGTGTATAGCTGGTACTTAAAATCATAAGGCCTCATAAAAACTGGGAGCTCCCGCTGAGTCTCCTCCCTAGTTCCTTTGTTTGGCCCTCACAGGTAATGGTGCGCAGGCATCTCCATTTGCTTGCTTGACAGTTGGCTTGTGACGGGCCAACCTGCGCGAAGTGTGATCTGTGTACCTGTCTTTCTCACTCCGCCCACACCCCGCAAAAGCCAGAACTTATTTTGGAATACTGGCCCATCTATACAGACGATTAGAATGGAACGCCCGTTCTAAGAGAACTGGCATTTACAGCTAGTGAACATCTTGATTGGTATGATAAAACTCTTAAGATCTTAAGTATTTACCTTTAAGCGTCCTCCTTGTGGTCAGATCTGAGAACACCACTCAGTGCAGTACTCTGCTGGCTTATCTATTAAAAAGCAAACTTCAGATGCACTTAAATAAGAGCCTTACAATGGAATCGGTTTTGAAGATGGGAAAAGAACACGACTGTTTTTCTTTGTAGGTGGAAATCAACGAGAACTTGCCCGCCAGAAAAACATGAAGAAATCCCAGGAAATTAGCAAGGGAAAAAGAAAAGAGGACAGCTTGACTACCTCTCAGAGAAAACAGAGGTCAGTGATGCTAATGGGATTCTCAAGTCACTGACGTTTTCATTGTGGAGAATGGAAAGCATTTTTTAAATTCTTGGTAGAACTAGGCCTAGCCTGCAGAAAGGAATAACAGTTGAATATTTGTTATGTGCCAGGCATACTAAAACTATATGGGGTAGTTATCGTCCCAGCCCATGGATGAAGAATTTAAAGCTCTCAAGCTTTAAATCTCGAGATTCTCTGTAGAATCTCCTGCCACTCCATCACAACCATAAGAACTTCATTTAGCAAAATAATTGAACATCTTCCATATGTCCACTCTAAGGTGCTAGGCATACAACATTTTCAAAGCAGACATTCTAGCCAAACTAGTCTGAGTGACAGGTGATTCAATTAGTAATAACTGTTCTGAAGGAGACAAAAAAAGTACATGTAGCTATATTGGCTTCTGAAGATCCATTGGGTTGGACAGAATGCAAGTGAACACTCTTAGTATATGACTATGTATGACAAATAATACAAAACTGCTATAAGAATGCCTTGAGACTGAGCTTAAGTGAAAAAAACAAAATGCATTCAGCACTAGCCGGGTCGCTCAGTTGGTCAGAGTGTTGTCCCATGCACCAAAAGGTTGTGGGTTCGATTCCCAGTCAAGGCAACCGATCACTGTTTTTCTCTCTCCCTTCCTTTCTCTAAAAATTAGTAAAAACATACACATGGGTGAGGATTAAAAAAAACATGCATTCATGTTTCTGAAAAAGTTAATCAAAGTTTAATTTTATTCTAAAGTCAAATGTTATTATGTGGAACTTGGAGGTCAAGTGAATAGTTGACTACTCATGCTTTAGTGTGACTTCTCTGTGGTCTTCAAGCTTGACTGCACATTAGAACCGCCTGGGAAACCTTGATGCCTACTTGGTCTGCTATGCCCTACACCCATTCCTGATTTAATTGGTCTGGGGTTAGGCATTAAAGGTGCTCTAGGTAAGTTTTATCGTACCTTAGTTAAACCTGACTTTTAAAAAGTTCCCCAGGTGAATCATTGTTTAATGAGGTTGAAGCCTTTAACCCTCACCCAAGGATATGTTTTTATTGATTTTTTTTTTAGAGAGAGAAGAAGAGCGGGGGGAGAGAGAAAGAGAGAAACAGAGAGACAGAGAGAGAAACATCTATGTGAGCGAAACATGGATTGGTTGCCTCCCATATGTGCTCCCACCGGGAATCAAACCCACAACCTAGGTATACGCCCTGATTGGGAGTCAAACCCACAACGTTTTGGTATACAGGAACGATGCTCCAACCAACTGAGCCACCCAGCCAGGATGAGGTTGAAACTTTTTTTTTTTTTTTAATCACCTTTTTTAAAAAAAATCTGATTGATTTGAGAAAGAGAGAGACGTCAATTTGTTGTTCCACTTATTTATGCATTCATTGGTCACTTCTTGTATGTGCCTTGACTGGAGATCGTACCTGCAACCTTGGCATATTGGGATGACGATTCTCTAACCAACCCAGCTATTTGGCCAGTGCTCTAGGAGACTTAGTAAATGCCCCTTTTTTCCAGGGAAAAATTTAGAGTGAATTAGCTTTGTTGACAACAAAAAATAACTGCTATTATTTCTGCATATAGCTAGCTAATGTCAGATGCTTTTCTATGTATTCATAGCTATTCCTCAGAAGGACCCTGATATGCATCGCTCTGATTTTGAAAGGCTTTGAGGTTATTTGCCTAAGGTGATGATAACAGAGATGGTATTCAAAATAAGATCTGGCTTCAAAGCCTTCTCATTCTTTGACTTCTAATTCTGTCTCCATCTATGAAAATGGAAAGACATGAATATTTACATCTTCTTTTAAATTGTCCTCTAACATACTGAGTGGGTGATATACAGAAAACAATTGAGGAAATAATCAGCTTTTCTGTAACAACTTACAGCCTTTTCTCCCATTATAGGGATTCTGAAATCATGCAACAAAAGCAGAAAGCAGCTAATGAGAAGAAGTCTATGCAAACAAGAGAAAAATGATGACTGACACTTTGGAAAAGCTGGGTGCTACTGCCAACTAGGTGTATCATAAACTCTATGATCAAGATTTTGTAGAGTAAACAGTCATTACATATGTTAACATATCCTTATAAAAACTATTTTAAACTTTACCTTTCAGTCTTAGTGTGATGTTTCAGAACCATTCTTCATAGAATAAAACACTAACCATGCATGTGCCATATTGGTGAACATTTTTTTTAATAGAAATCACTCTTTGTAAATTTTTTTAACATGTTTTTATTGATTTCAGAGGAAGGGAGAGGGAGAGATAGAAACATCAATGATGAGAGAATCATCGATTGGCTGCCTTCTGCACGCCCCCTACTGGGGATCGAGCCCACAACCCCAGCATGTGCCCTGACTCAGAATCAAACTGTGACCTGGTTCATGGGTCCACGCTCAACTACGGAGCCACACCGGCTGGGCTGAACGTTATTTTCTTATCAGCACTGAGCACATATATAACTAATTAGAGAGGTAATGTGGTCAGATAATAGGGTCTTCTATATAAATCTAGAATTTTTGTCTTAAACTTTGTTAAGGTAGATCTTTAAAGTCAACTTTATTATATAATAGAATTTAAGATGCATTTATCTAATTTGGCTTTGTAATCAACTGGTTTGCTTGAAGAATTTATAATATAATACAAATGACCTGGAATAGCAACTAAATGACCATAAACTAGGTCTTAGTAAGATTTTTATAGCAACTAAATGACCATAAATGAGGTCTTAGTAAGATTTTTATTTAGCCTGACCAGGCATGGCTTAGTGGTTGAGCATCGACCTAGGATCCAGAAGATCAGGGTTTGATTCCCGGTCAGGGCACATGCCTGGGTTGTGGGCTAGGCAGCCGATCAATGACTCTCTCATTATTGATGTTTCTATCTCTCCATTCTCCCCCTCCTTTCCTCTCTCTGAAATCAATAAAGATATATATATTTTTTTAAAAAAAGATTTTTATTTAACAGCTTTAACATTTTTGAAATAAATGCCTTTTTAAAAACAATAAACTATTTTGATTTTTTTTTTTTTTTAATCCTCACCCAAGGATATTTCTCTACTGATTTTTAGAGAGAGTGGGAGGGGGAAAAAGAGGGAGAAAAAGAGAGAGAGAAACATCTGTGTGAGAGAGACACATCAATTGGTTGCCTCCTGAACACTCCCCAACTGGGTCTGGGGATCGAGCCTGCAACCGAGGTATGTGCCCTTGGCCAGGAATCGAACCCATAACCCATTCGGTCTGAGGGCCAATGCTCTAACCACTGAGCAAAATCAGCCAGGACAAAAAAATAAAATAGACTAATTTTTAGAACAGAATTAGTTTTATAACACAATTGAGATTCCCATATACCCACTGCCCCTGGATGTCTCTCCCTGCGTGTCTCCCCCATTATAAACATTCCCCCACATTTTGTAATTGATGAACCTACATTGACACACCATTATTACACAAGTACATAGTTTATATTAGGATTCACCTTTTGTATTTTAAAAGTGCCATTACTTTTTTTTCTTTTAATACTCACCTGAGTACATGCTTAGAGAGAGGAAGGGGGAAAGAGAGAAAAAAACATAGATTGGTTGCCTTCCATACATGCCCCAACCAGGGATCTTACCCGAAACCCAGGTATGTGCCCTGACTGGGAATCAAACCCAAAACCTTTCGCTGCACAGGACAACTCCCAACCGAGCCACTCCAGCCAGGCAAAAGTGCCATTTCTTAGTCTGTTCTGAGACTCTTCAAAAACTTGTGACTTGATGGTTATAAATTTTGAAAATGTGTTAACCTAGAGTAACTAAAGATTTGAGACATTATTTTCTGAAGTAAATGTGCATAATTATTGCAAAGAGAATAAGGTAACTTTAATGTATTATTCAAATACTTGATTTTCCACATCATACAATTCAACAAATTTTTACTGATCATCTGTCTACCTCTAAACTAATGGACAGATCTTCAAGGATTCTCCTAGTATCTCACCCTGGCCAGTGTGGCCCAGCTGGTAGGGCATAATCGTCCTGTGTGCCAGGAGGTTGCTGGTTCAATTCCCGGTCGGGGGTACATGGCTGTGTTGCCTCCCAGTGTGGGACGTGCAGGAGGCAGCTGATTGATGTTGCACTCATATCGGAGTTCCTTTATCTTCTCTCCCTTTCTCTCTCAAAATCAATAAACTATTCTAAAAAAAAAGAATTCTCCTAGTATCTTAATGAAGGTTCTGTTAATCTTGTGATAGGTCACTCACCAATGGTACTATCCATAATAGGATAGAATCCTAAGTCTCCAATACTGAATAAGGCAAACATGAAGTTTTTAGCCTGAGTTCTTATCTTCATATTGGCACTGATTTTCAAAGTAAAGCTTTGTTCTACTTACTCAGTTAACTTCAGTCTTCAAAACATTATATGATGGTAGTCACAAGGGCAAAAGGATTATAGTAGCTTAGGTTACATTCTAATAAAAAGGATAATGAAGAAGTCATTGCACCACAAAGATTCTTTATGGATCTGATTTCTGTAATTCTCTCTCTAGAATGTCTACACAGAGTGATAAGCCATGAGTACAAAGAATTTTTTTTATGCTTTATGCCATATCCTTTGCTTTTTTTAATGAATATTTTTCATGTTTAAAATATCACATGTAGTGGAATAACTTTGGACTTTTTAAAAATTAATTCTTTAAAATCTAGGGAAAACTACAGTTCCAAAAGAACATGAATATTTGAATAAAGAAGATCTCTGGGTTGTGATTAATCATTGAGACATATCCAAACTGAATGCTATCAATTTTTTATGGTATTTACTTGAATAAATTCATTGCAAAGATAAAGGGTTTGATTTTTAACTTCAACATTACTAGACATTTCCTCTAGACAGAAAAGAGGGAGAATTTAGTTGCTGAAATATATTGACACTTTAGTTTCTTTTCATGTAGCATGTATTTTTTTTAACATATCTTTATTGATTTCAGAGAGAGGAAAGGAGGGGAAGAGAGAGAGAGAGAAACGTCAATGATGAGAGAGTCATTGATCAGCTGCCTAGCCCATAACCCGGGCATGTGCCCTGACCGGGAATCGAACCCCGATCGCCTGGATCCTAGGTTGATGCTCAACCGCTGAGCCATGCCGGCCTGGCTCATGTAGCATATTTAAGCAAGGTAACTAAAATAGCTAAACTTCTAAAGAGGGAAACTGACTACAAAATATTAAGGGGAAAATACAGGTGAATAATTGTAACAAGTCAGTAAAGTTAATTCACGTACTAACTTTAGGTATTTCTTTGAGTTGTGACCAAAGCAAGATAAAAATATTTAGATGAAGTGGTACCAACTTTACAATGTAATTTGAAAAATAAGAAAATCCATGAAACACCCTTATGGACATTAAAAATACTATGTTACATCATCCTTAACAGGATTTAGCAATCTTCCTAAGTCTTGCTGAAAATAAGAGGGAGCAGCTGCTACGGCCCAAGGTGATATACTAAGGTCAGTTTCGTCAGTTACTTGATCCCTTTTGAATGCCTTTTCTATTAGTGGCCGTGTAAGAAATCATTTCCCACTTATCAAACTAGACTGTTTTTGAAAATTGGGCTAAAAGGGAATATTGATTACTGGCTTCATTTTTCTAACTTTAAAAATACATATTTTGCTCTTTTCCCCATGTTATTATAAATGGGAAGAGTTTACCCATGCCAGAAAATGACATATTTTTGTTTTGTATTTTCAAGTTCCACTTTGTAAAGAGAGTTTTTCTGTTTAAGGCAGGTGTACTACTGCTGTTTGAGTCTATAATCTGCTTCAAAATTACTGAACTTTAAAAAGCACATCCCCCACAATGTATACATATATCAAATCATCACCTTAAATACAAGCAATTTTCATTTGTCAATCATACATCAATAAAACTGAGGGGAGGGGGCATATCCCTAAAGTGAAAACCTAATATAAAATTGACTTTGACAATCAGATGATGAGATTTGTACACCTTACCATCTGTGTCATGGTTTTAACAGATATATCAATTATGTCAACTTCTTGAGGTAAATTCCTAATTGCCTTTGGTGATGAAGATCTATAAACATCAAAATTCAATTAAAAATTGAATTATTTTGATGATTGTCACAGTTTTTTTCATTAGATCAAACTGAATAAGAACATTTATTAAACTGCCTCCTATAGTTTCATCTGCTAAAGTACTTGCTTTATATAATAATCACATTTTGATATATGTTGTCTCTCCAAGTCATGAAAATGTCAATGAGATAAGAAGAATGACTACAAGTTGCTCAAATGCACTTCCCTATGAGTTCCAGAAAGATTTAAAACTTACTACAGGCTTTTCCTTACAACTTTGCTTCTTAAAAACAAAACCTTTTACAAAGCACTCATTAGCTAATAATACACATTAGAAGTTCACAGATAGCCTGCTATTGGGACATGTGCCCAGGAAAATTGAGATTTTAAAATTTGACTCTAACATACTTTTTAAAATTAATTTTTAGAGACAGGAAGGGAGAGAGAAACATTGACTTGTCCCCCTTATTTATGCATCCATTGGTTGATTCTTGTACGTACCCTGATCCGGGATCGAACCCATAACCTTGGCATATCAGTACAACACTCTAACCAAATGAGCTACCCAGCCAGGGCTAAAACTCTTTAAAGCACTTAAAAATATATATTATTGGTTACCTCTGGACTGATTTTTATTGTATTGGTTTACCCATATTTTCTAAATCACCTGCAATGAACACTTTCAATCCTCACCTGAGGGTATGTTTATTGACTTTTAGGGGAGGAGAGGAGGGAAGAGAGAGAGGCACAGCTGTGAGAGAGAAACATCTATCGGATCGCCTCCCAGGGCGCCTGAGGGGGAGTCACCCCCAACCTACGTAGGTGCCCCCATCAGGAATCAAACCCACAACCTTTTGGTGTAGGGAGGAGGCGCCAACCAACTGAGCCACTGCAGCCACCACAATAAACACCATTTTTAAAGAAAATGTATTGTTCAAAACAAAAACACCCTGGTAGAACCACTCTACAAATAAACAAAAAAAGTGAAATCGAAGAATTGAAAGCACACACGGAAGAAAAACAAGTGAGGCGGAAC